CCCTCCCTCAACCTCTTTGCTATCCAATTTTGTTCCCCTCTTTTTCTTCCTGTTTTCTTAACATCTCATGCCAGCACCTTGCCTTCCCAATCTCCATCCTGCTGTTTCTTTTTCTTTTCTTTTTTCTTTTTTGCTAGAAGGAGGTGGGAAAAGTCAGTTGCATTACATGTTTCTGTGTGAGAGAGATTGCCAATATATTCAAATGGAGGATCTCATTATTTGCAATTGGGGTACCTTATTTGAGCAGCAATTACTTTAATCAATAGTTATTATTAATTAATTTTTCATGGCCCTTTTTTGAAGTGTGGCTTTTGGTCAGTTTATACACACAGACCAGTGTGACACATGGATATTTACTGGGAGTGGTAAATCTCCAGGAATTGTGTCAGCTGGAGTTGCAACCATAAATTAACATGGTGGGGAAGCTGGGTATTTATCTGTTCCTTGGGGCTAGTGAGGGGGGGTCATCTTAAATTCAAGGTTGTCATCCTTTCAGGTCACTACATTAAGTTTGTTCTTATGACTAGTTTCTATTTATCTGTCTGGGTGCAACTCACTTAGACATTACCACAGAAGATGCTTAAAAGCTGCCATCAGTTCAAGTCATATAATTATATCTGTCTGTTTCTTATAGCCAGTTGATTAATATGGTCATTTTCATTCATTTCTGTGTCACTTAAGGTAGATAATTATTAGAAAGGTGTAGGCTTCTTAAGAAAAATCTGGGCAAGCTTTCAAGTTTGTGTTATAAATAGATTTTGCCTTAAAGTTAGCATGCTGTGCTGATTAAAATATTTTCCTTATGTTCAGTAATTAACCTGCCTATTAACTGATATAATGTGTTACGATTGTTCTGTTTCATTCTTTATTCTTATTTTGTGGGATTTTATCCCCACAGCAGGAACAGTTGAAAATAGTTGTGTGTGTGTGTGTGGGGGGTATTTTATGTATATGGTTTTAATCTAAATACTGTATCAGGTATGCATGTTGCTCAGTCTATTATGATTAGAGTAGCATATAAGCCCAGTAAATAAATAATTATGTAAATATAATTTGCTTCTACATTTTAACAAATTAATTTTTTTTTCCAGCCCATGCAGTTTGAAGAAGATGAGCATACCCCACCAGCACCTCCTAACCCATTCAGTCATCTCACCGAAAAGGAACTGGAAGAGTACAAGCAGACAATCGAACGCAAACAACAAGGCACTGAGGGTGAGTGTTTGACTCAAAGTTTCCATCTGCAGGTTAAGTTTAAAGGAATTAGTTTAAATAAAAAATATATATATTCAGAATTACTAAACCAAAGCCATTAAATTAAATAATAATCAATGACAACTTCAATAACTTTACCTTTCCAAGATCTTTTTATTCATTTGTGTTTAAAACAAATCCTCATTTCTGAATGAGTCTCACGTGAACATGGGCATGTAGGTATATTTTATCTTGGGGTAGAAGCAGTGAATGAATTAGATTGATAGACTAATATCCACAAGATTTTTGAGTATAGATCAGGAAGTTGGAAAGACAGCATATTCAAACATGTTATGTTAAATTGTCATGTCCTCTTGATGGTAAATTGGTAGAAGATACATTTGCATTATTTCCTGTAATATATTGAAAAATGAACCAACTTTGTATCTCATGAAATGTCTTTTGGCAAGAGTTTATTTCCAGACATAGTACTGCATTAAATAGGACTAGACATGTATGAATAAGAATTTGTGGGCTGTACAATTTAACTCTTCCTACTGTCACATTTCCTAACAAATATTCTTGATTTCTCTATGTATATAAA